AGTGCAAAAAGACCAAAGTTAGAAGAAGAGGTGGAGTATTGAGAGAGTGTGTGAGTTATTTTTTATTATTTTATTTTTTAGAAGGAAGAGGAATCAGAAGAAGAAATGTTAGAGGAAGAGAGCAAAGACCAAACCAAAGTGTATGTAGCTATTTTATGATACATTATATTGACACTGATTTATTTTGAGTTTAGAAATGGGCCAATTTTTGAAAAATACCCAAGGCTATAGCACATGGTTTTTTCCGAAAAATGACTAAAAAATGACCACCAATTTTTATTACATTTTCTAATACATATTGACGTCCTTATGCTGTGTAGCAAGTTTGAGGTGATTCCGATAAGAAATTTTCGAGTTATGACCATTTTAAAAAACGGGCCAATTTTCGAAAAATACCCAAGGCTATAGCACATGGTTTTTTCCGAAAAATGACTAAAAAATGACCACCAATTTTTATTACATTTTCTAATACATATTGACGTCCTTGTGCTGTGTAGAAAGTTTGAGGTGATTCCGATAAGAAATTTTCGAGTTATGACCATTTTAAAAAACGGGCCAATTTTCGAAAAATACCCAAGGCTATAGCACATGGTTTTTTCCGAAAAATGACTAAAAAATGACCACCAATTTTTATTACATTTTCTAATACATATTGACGTCCTTGTGCTGTGTAGAAAGTTTGAGGTGATTCCGATAAGAAATTTTCGAGTTACAATGTATGACCATTTAAAAAAACAGGCCAATTTTCAAAAAATGCCCAAGGCTATAGCCCATGGTTTTTCCAAAAAATGACTAAAAAATCACCCCCATTTTTTATTACATTTTCTGATACATATTGATGTTTTTATGCTTCCATAGCAGTAATTATAAATCAATTTGTTTGTTGTAACTTGTAGTAGCAGCTGCTGGTTATGGCAGTCCGCCAATTTACCTCACACATATAATACAAAACAATTAATGACTATGAATATCATTAAGCATACTCTCTTTATTATGAATTAATAATCTAATTATTATTGTATGGTTTATTACCAAAAGAGAGAGAGAGATAATATAGTACTCACTATATAGTTCTTATTTTAAGAATCAAATCACAAAATTGTTTATTTCTTTATACTATGTACATATTCTATACTATATCCCAGTTGAGTTTGGGACAAGAAAAACTGAAATAACTTTTTATAGGAATGTGGGATAAGGATGAAACTTTCACAGGTTCTTAGTCGCCAAAGTCCATCAAAATCTGTGAAATCTTGGGTCTCTCAGCTCTTGGGAACCCTGAGAACCGGGTTCTCCCTATAAACCCAATGGCATACCAAAATGACGTTTTATGACAGTTTATCTACGTCATAGTTTACATAAGCACATGTGGTCGAGCGCCAAACTGTTAATTCTTGTTTTAAAAAGCTAACAGAGCAAGATCTTCTGATAATGATGGCCTTTATGAAGACTAGTTGACTCCAGTAGCTGTTGTACTGCTTATCAGCAGCAGCAAGACTGTTTTAAGAGTGAAACAACACAGCCGCCATTCTTCTATGAATATCATTAAAATACTTAAAATACGTCATTTTTGTGACGTAGCTACATTTTTCAAATTCCACGCAACTGCTTCCACTTCCGTCCCAAACTGAACTGGGATATAGTATATATATGTATTCTATGTACATATACATATACATATACATGTACCGTATTTCCTTAAATAGAAGCCGTATTCGAATAAACGCCGGGGTAGCAATAGAATTAAACTATAAATACGCAACACCAGCCTAGGAGTGACTCAGTAGTCTAGTGGGCAATGCCTGAAGTTCCAGAAGTCAAAAGCTTGAGGCCACGGGTTTGAATCCCGCTCTGGGCCAAAGTTTTTTTTATTTTTATATATTTTTTGGAGGTCCAAGTATCATTTTAGGAAATAGACGCCCGGGCTTTTATTTAAGGAAATACGGTACATGTATACATTATATGAAGTACTACATAAATTGTATACATGTACATGCTCTTGTATTATGTCTGTAGTGGTACATGTGTGTATGTGTGTTTGACTGTTTGTATTAATACATTATGGGTCACATTATTTGTAGTTGTACATTTGTGTACTGTAGGGCACTTTTTTTCAAGGGCTATAAAT